TCCGTTATCCAGGCGCTGTATTTCTGTCATCCATTCCGGGAGCGAATTTTGCAATATAAACAAATGTTGAAAAAATCAGGTAAATTTTTGAAGGTTTTTGCAAAAAACGAAATTAAAATCCTGAGAGGCGCTGCCCCGGCTACGATTCGATCATTCGTTTCGATGGTAAATTGATACTATTGGCATTTTGTAAGAGAGTTAAATCGGTATTTGCATGCTTTCCGAGAATTTTTTTAAGTGGGTACTTGAAACAGGCTTTTTTTTCGAATTTTTTTGGGTCATTTCAGGGACTCAGAGGGAGAATTTATTGGCATGCTTGGCGGACCTTTTCCACAATATAGCAACGCAGAAAAAACGAGTGGGAACGATTGCTCCAAAACGATTCATAACGAAATTAAGAAAGGAAAATGGTTAGATTTATGTTTTCCCCCTAGTAATTCTGGATGAATTTTTAATTTTTGTGTTCCTTAATTTGTGTTTCTAAAATTTTTTTTTTTCAATTTGTGTTTCTTTTTAATTTGTGTTTCTTAATTTGTGTTTTTTTCCTCAATTTTTAATTTTTGTGTTTCTAAAATGGCTTCAACCGTTTTTGGTTTTGCAGAAATTTTCGATAATTACATGCAACAGGATGCGCATGAATTTTTGAATTATTTGTTAAATTCAATATCGGAAACGTTGGCTGAGGAAAAAAAAGCTGAAAAAACATATCGTATGAACGGTCTGATGAAAAAAGGCTCCAATGGCGTTCTTTCATCAGCAGCAGCACACGATTCACGCACATCCTGTCAACCAAGGTAATCTCACCGTTTTCGAAATTTTTGGTGGATTTTTACCTTCGTACCGCAAACTTTGGGGTCTGTGGTTTAGAAATAATGCAAAACGGTAAATCCGAAAAAAAAACTTTTACAAAACTTTTATTTACTGAGCAATACATCTCAAAACTGAAACTCGTTTAGCTTAGAATTTACATTTAGAAAGGTACATTACCTGGATTAGGGTTTTTTTGACGGAATTTTCTGCTTCGGAAATTTGGGATAACCCAAATCATTGCATTATTGTAAATTTTAAATTTTTTTTTCGTTATAATTTTTTGGTATTTTCAACTTTTTCGGCGCTCTTTCTGTTTCTTTTTATGATGCTGTTTCAGTGGTTCGAAGAGTAACTCAACATGGGTTCAAGAA